CCAAGGCTTGGTTAATTGTATAGGAAGATGGGACCATCAATCAACATAGGAACAGAAGAAGAGGAGCCTGAGAGTTGGAGAAAATAATGAGTTCGGCTTGGAACATAATTGAGCTCGAGGTGCTTATCAGGGTAGAGAGATCCAATAGGCAGCCGGACTATATAGGTCTAGAAGCCAAGATGGAGGGTCAAACTGGGGTATGAATTTGAATGATAGCTGAAATTACACATAGAAAGTAAGGAAAGACATGGACAGAGAATACTGAAGAATATCAACATTTAAGGAATTTGTAGAAGATGAGAAGATAGCAATAAGGGCCGAAAAGAAAGGGACTTTTCCACAGAACAAGGTGACATGGATCATATGAGATTAGATGTTAGTGCTTCACAATGTTGAAGAAAAATGTTAGTGCCAGATACTACAATAAAGCAAAGCACAGCTATATGAAGATCAACATTTTGATATTTATAAGTATGCAAAATAACTTCTAACCCATAGGAACCACCCTCTTTCTTTCCCCTAAAATATTCAGGATTAAGAACCAGACTGAGCTGTAATAAAAATAATTTTAAAAGCCAAGAATAGCAGAACTAAAGATTAAATCTGGTATGCCGACTCAGCTGGTAAAGGCCCGAGGGAAAGGAATGTTTTGATAAATGGGCAGTATGTAGACTAGGTCCACGTGGCCACTCATCACTCAAGTGCCTAACCTTCCCTTATAAAGGTGGCAGAAGGCTGATTCTTCCCCATGGCCACAGCTGAGTAGACCAAAGGTTGAATTCTCCTCAAAACTACCCAACCTTTTGACTGGCCTGTGAAAATACAATAGTCTTTTTCATGAATATGCACTAAGACACACAAAGATTATACTTAATTGTTGTTGGGCTTTGGGACTGAAGGGTTATTTTGTAACTGGGGACACATTTGGTCTTATGGCAAATGAAAGTCATATATCAGCTACAGTTCAGTAATTAAAAGAAAACAGAAGAATAGAAAAACAAATTGTAAATAAGATAACCATGCTTGTGGAAGGAGGGCTGGCTACATTACCTGCATTGGATTCTAGTAGAATCCTTTACATTTGTGTAATGCCAGTGGGTTTTGGCTCCTTACAACTATGCTTACTAAAACAGTAACAATAATAATAGGTAACATTTGCTTAGTGTTTACTGTGCCAGACACTGCTCTCTGCATTTTAAATGTATATTGCCTTATTTAATATTCTCAACAACCTTATGAGGTAGGTACTATTTTTATTTCCATTTTACTGATGAGGAAACTGAGGCAAAAAGAAGGTAACTAACTTGGTCATAGAATATAGTTTATAAGTGTGGACCTTTTCACAAAAAAAAAAAAGCAGTCTTTTCCTACAAAAGTTCAGAATTTTATTCTCTTAAATAAACACTGAATACTACGTTTGTCAACCAAGCACTGTGCAAAACACTGGGGATATGTTCTTGCCCTCAAGGAGCTCTTAGTCCAGTAGTGGAGAAGCACAGAGAGGGGAAGAGGAATGGGAAGGGAAGAGAAGGAAAAAGTAACAAGTGTGGAAAAACAGAAGCAGAGTAGAAGCAGTGATCAGAGTAATGAGAACAGAGACTGACAACAGAACAATACAGTCAGAGATAGACAAACAGCTCTGAGGTCTAAGGAGGAGAGCAAATCACTACATACACTTCAGGACACCTTAGGGTCAGTCTTTATTTAGAGAGTAGGTAGATGTTTGATATACATGCCAAATAGCCTCTTAATCCCACGGTGTCTCTTAAGGGCTAAGTCCACAATAATTAAAGAGTCATGGAGGTTGGTGGGAGGTTCAAATGGCTTTTTTTTTTTTAAAGGACTCCATGAATGCTTACAAGATAAAAAATATATTTAAAAGCTACGTAGACATGTAAAAGTATATTTAAAATATCTCAGACCCAATAAGCACAAAACTACATTGACCAACCAAATGAGAACTCCTGTTTACCTCTCCTGACGCTCATTTCTTCTACCCTGAGGCCCAGAGATTTTGACAAGCAGGATGGAGAGGAGAGGTGGAAGCATGAGGCAGGGGAAGAGAGAGCACTGTACACCAGAGTGTGCCCCTAAAAACGAACAAACAAAAAACACAGAAGAACCCAAACCCATTGCCATCAAGTTGATTCCAACTTACAGCAACCTTATAGGACAGAGTAGAACTGCCCCATAGAGTTTCCATGGCTGTAAATTTTTATGGAAGCAGATTGCCACATCTTTCTCCCATGGAGTGGCTAATGTGTTTGAACTGCTGACCTTCTGGTGAGCAGCTGAGTGCATAACCATTATGCTAGGCAGCAGCTGAGGAAGGGGAATATTTAACCTTAAATTGGACTTTTAATTGACTGACTTAAGACTGCTATGTCTGTTCTCATTTATTTTCTTCTTTAGTAATGTTTCATTGTGTTTTTGGTGGAAGTTTACACAGCAGTTAAGTCCCCATTCAACAGTTTATACACACGTTTTTCAGTGACATTGGTTACATTCTTTACAATGTGTGAACATTCTCATTTCCACTCAGGTTGTTCCATTTCTATTAATCTAGTTTCTCTGCCCTCTTACTTTGTCATCTTTGTTTAAAGTAATTGTTAGCCATTTGGTCTCATAGGTGATGAGCTCTGGTAGCACTTGTGCCTAAGGCATTTGACTGCTAACCAGAAGGCTGGCAGTTCAAATACACCAGCCACTCCTGGGAAGGAAGGTTGGGCAATCTACTTCTGTAGTGACACCACCTTGGAAACCCAAGGAGGGGTCACTATGAGTCCGATGCGACTTGACAGCAGTGAGTTTGGGTTTTTTGGTTTACAGTACTTATAGGTGATAATGTTATTTAACTACAAGGGGACTTTAGGGGTTAGTTTTGGTTCAAGGTGTGAAGAGTATTTCAGTCCAGTAGTCTCAGTGACGCCTTCAGTCTCAGCCAATCCAGTAAGTCTGCTTTTTGTTTTAGGAATCTGAGGTTCTGTTCCACATTTTTCTCCCATTCTATCAGGGTCCATCTATTGTGGGTCTCACTAGAACGGCTAGTGGTGGTAACCATTTAATTCTGGTCTCAGGGTAGGTAGATGGGGCAATGGTTTGTGCAGACTATTTGTCCTGTAGACTAGTTTCTTCTTTGAGTCTTTGGTGTCCTTCCTTCTCTTTTGCTTTGGATGAGTAGAAGCCAGTGGTTGTATCTTAGATGATGGCTCACAAGCTTTGAAGACCCTAGACACTATTTACCAAACAAGGATGTAGAACATAACTTTATTATGCAAATTGATCAAGGTGTCCCAGGAGACTATGATCCTAATCCTTCAAACTCAGAAATCCAATCCCGTGAGGTATTTGGTTATGTCCAAGAAGTATCTGTAACTGTACCTGCATGTGCTTTATTATATATATGAATATATGTGCATACAGTCACATAGATGCATGTTTATATATAAAAAATAAGTATATGCCTATATATATGTATACACATATACATGTTGTTGTTGTTGTTAGGTGCCATCATGTCGGACCCGACTCAGAGTGACCCTTCCTTGGGTTTCCCAGGCGGTATCACTATGGAAGTAGATTGCCCAGCCTTCCTTCCATGAAGTGGCTGGTGACACATATACATACCTATACACATATATACTTACATATATACATATATACTCACACACGTATTTTTGGTTGTTTCAAAATTATATATGCAATAGCAATTACCAACAGGTCCTCTTTTCTTGTGTACTTTTTTGTGACGCTGTTTACCTTCATCAAGCTATGCACACTTTACCCTCATTAAGTGTTACTTTTCCCATCACCAAAAATAACAAGTGCCTAACTATCTAGAGAGTGAATCCCCCTCTCCCCCAATCCCTGGTAACTGCCAATGAACATTAGTTTCTGTATATCATGAAAGTGAGAACATACAGTATGTTTTTTTGTGCTTTACTTATTTCACACAAAATAATGTCCTGAAAGTTTATCCATGTTTCAGGATATTTCAGGTACTATGGTGGTTATAATGTGTGTCAACTTGGCAGGGCCTGGTGGTAGTTATTCCCCATGATGAGACTGGCAATCAACTCCATGGTGGGATCTACCACAAGCAGCCGGGTAGCTGCCTTTGGGTATGTGGTCTGCTTCCTGTATATAAGGAGAAGCCTTTGGGAATGGTCTCTAGCCTATGGCACGCTTGGACCCTGCATGTGGCCGTGTCATTGCTCAGCAGCCTGCTATGCTCTGCCAACCTTGGGACTTACAGTGGACTTAAGTTAATGGCCTGCCATGTGGTTTGATAACATCGAGCCTGTGCCTTTTTACTTGTCAATCTTGGGGCTTCTCAGCCTCAGCTGCCAGCAGCTGTCTGAGTGAAGAAATCCCTCTAGCTCTGGTGGGCCAGGAGCAGGAAGCAGAGCTGGACCCCAAGGTTGAGGGGCTTTCACCCAGCCCCTAGAGCCTGGCACTTTGAACTTGGACTTATAGCCTCCAAATTGTAAGAATAAACTCCTGTTTGTTAAGGCCATCCCATTTATGGTATATTTCTCGTCAGAGCGGCACGAGGTAACCAGAACAGGAGCTATTTTTCTTTATCATCAAGTAGTATTCTATTGTATATATACACACCATATTTTTCTTATCCATTCATCCACTGATGGGCACTTCATTTGTTTCCATTTTTTACTATTGTGACTAGTGCTGCGATGAGCACAGGTATGCATATGTGTACTCTCATTTCTGAATTAAAGTGACCGTAGGACTTTATAGTGTGATCAGAGTGACCTGAGTTTTGTCCAGATGCAAGAAAAGAACTTCCTATAGATAAATTTTAAAGAGACAGCAAGATACAAAAATAAAGTTGCTTTTAACTTACACTTAGTGAATCTTGGTTAGTTCAACATATTAATAAGAAAACTTCCTATTTGAAAGCTCCTTTTCACCAACCTTGCTGGGTCACTGAAACTTGTAGAGATTATAATTAGGGGGAAAATACAATATATATGCCCTACCTTGATCCTTTTTCTTTTGTGCCACTTTTGCTAAGAACAGTATTTCGTCCAGAAGTAGGTTCTGATTTCTCTTCTGTGGGAGATCCAACTCCAGCACTAAAATGATAACTACTTTTTCTTGTCATTTTGAAAAAACCACATGAATTTTAATCATATGGAAAATATCAACACGTTACATTTGTAAGGCAGTTTATAGTTTATAAGGTATTTTTTAAAAATGAGCATTTTATTTTCCATTGTGAGCTTTGATTCCTTTCCCCACTATGAAGCATAGAAAATGGGCATTATCCTGTTTACAACCATGGAAACTAAGCCTGTTTCAGACAAAGTCATAATGTTCAAAACCTCATTCTAGGCCCATACCAGACAGAATGTGAACCCAGGTTTCCTGAACTTGGACTTATAGCCTCCAAATTGTAAGAATAAACTCCTGTTTGTTACGGCCATCCCATTTGTGATATATTTCTTGTCAGAGCGGCACTAGGTAGTGATCTTTTCCTCAGAAAATTTAAGAACATTTATGTAATTATATTACCATAAAGAAGAATAAAAATTAAGTTGCCAAAATCTGTAATCTAAACACTTTTAGATTAAAACAAATTAAGGGGATAATTATCAAAATATAAATTATGTTCTTACCTGGTCTTTTCTTTACTTGATCTTCTTAAGGAAGATGAGGAAGAAATGCTTCGTCCATAACCAGTGTCTGATGATTTATCTTCCATAGATGGAAGTGGGTAACTAAAATTTTACACATTTTAAGTGATGTACAAATTAAAATGATTTATTTGTCAATATTGGCTTCTGTCTCACAAAGCAGGCACATTTTTTTTCTGAAAATCATATTGCTGATGCTGACTTTTAACAGTGACATATCATTTAAAAAGCATAAAGGAGAGGTCAAGCTAAGACTCCAAGGATATTATAAAGCTTTTCAAGAGCTAGAACAGGAAACATTTTTATAAAATGTATCACACAAGACAGAGATATTGTATCAATATACACCATCATTTTAAAGAAGAATGTTGAAGCCTTCATTTTCAGCTCCAGTATTTCTTATTTCACAAAGGAATACTGGGCAACAGTTATACCCCAGTACACAGCTCTATAGACTTGTCAACATAAATCATTTGGGGTTGCTCCTATCTTTACAACTTTCTTCACTTACTCCATGTTACCAGAAGGGTAAGTGGCCCTGATTGCAGAACTACATTTGGAATTGACTGGGTGACAAAGTGTCAAAGGAAAATAACAGAATATGTTGGATTTGTGGGGGTTGTTCTGCTGTCTCTACTGTCAGGCTATGAGTCTATGGACCAGTTTTTATTTTCATGGTGGTGCTAGATGCAGAGGAAAGAAAAATATCATACTGGGAAGATTTACAAATTCACATGTTAATGGAAATTTATATGCTTAAATAAATAAATAAATAAATAAATAAATATATTTAAATAAATATATTAAAATATAAAAATATA